ATAACATTGGCCGCGTTCAGAAAAACAATTTAACTGCTGCATTGTCTTGTCGACACTCGACATTGATTTCTTTGTTATAAATTCTAAAAGTTTAACAGCTAAATCATTAATTGCTACTGAGCGGTTAAACGTCCCTGGTAACGCACTTTGATAGCTCAGATACGTCCCGAAGAAGTGCGCAAGAAAACAGTCCAAAATTGCGACAGATGTGCATAATATCTATGATTAAACGAGTACTTACTGTACTATTGCAGCAGTGTCTGCTGTAAGAAGCTACTGTGAAATTTATATATAAAAATTTATCACAGGTTATAATCACATATATTATGCACGTTCTATCGCAATTTTGTACTGTTTTCTTACGCACTTCTTCGGGACGTATTTGAGCTATCAGATTGTGTTACCAGGGGTCTATTGTGAGTGTGACTTGTTAAAAAATTAAACATTATATATATATTGTAACATATATGTACTAGATATATATCAGATTGTGACTCTGAAGTTCTTCATTAATTTCTAATTTCTAAACACTCTTAGTCAATCGTAAAATTATTTAAAAAAAAGTTAGGGGAAATAATTTAAATTAAAATATCTATTTTTCCTCAATATTTTTTCTTTGTTTGGTGTATTAATAATTTTTGACATATTTATTTATATAGAACTTGTCGAACTATTTAAAGAAAAAACTTCTTAAATCTAATTTATCGTTTAGAAGTCAAACGACTGTTAGATGAACAGTAAGATAAATTTAGAAGCGTATTAATTTTAGTCTTACAATAAGGGAGGGCTCAGAACTGAACTCTGCCGATTTTGATGAAACTTGACAGGATTACAGAGAAAATTTTCTCAAATATGTAATGATATCCTAATTTGGGTGCCAACGGTCAAACGTTTCCGAGATATTTTAATAATAAATATAGCATTTTTAGAGTAGAATTTATTAGGATACTCACATACCAGTATTTGGCATAGTGGATAAGTAATTGCTTCATAATTTGTAAACTCGTTTAAATCTCAGTTAATTTTTTTATAATAATGTTTTTTTATAACATCAATGTTTTACGATAAAAATAATTATATTGTTGATATACAAAATAAATTATTTTGTGTGATAAAAAAAATGTATATATTATAAATTGTAAAGAAATAATTATAATAAAAAATAACGTATAAAATAATTATGAGGGTAGTTACCATATCCACTACGCTACAAATACTTGTCTGTGAATGTCCTAATAAGGTGCGATTTCATTGACGCTAAAAACCAGCGGCAGCGTCAAGAAAATGTAGTGGGGGAAGAAGTTCAGACCGCCTCAACTTTTTAGCGTACCGCAAAATTCAACGGAACTTCTTCCCCCACTACATTTTCTTGACGCTGCCGCTGGTTTCTAGCGTCAATGAAATCGCACCTATAAACTCTACTCTAAAGACGCTACTAAATATTAAAATTGATTATTAAAATATCGGAAACGGTTGACCGTTGGCATCTAAATAAGGGTATTATTACATTCGAAGGAATTTTCTTTGTAATCCTGCCAAGTTTCATCAAATTTGGCAGAGTTCAGTTCTAAGCCTTCCCTTTTAAAATTTCATAGTACAGGATAGTTTAATTTTCAGTCTATATTGTCAATACACCATTATAAATTTTTAATTTGTAATAATGATTTAATGGTTAAATAGAAACTTAATTTAACAAATGTGTTTGTTTAATTGTACGTATTTTCAATCATTTTATGCTTTACACCGTTTCATTCTTAATCTACAGGTCAGATTGCTAAAGTAATTACAACGGACGAGGTTTGTATAATTTGGTGCAGGTATTTTATTTATTTTATTCTTCTTTATTAAGACTATTTTCAGAAAGACTCATAATAATAAATTATTTTCGTCAATCACTTGCAAATACATTGGGATACATAATTTCATTTATATTTTTTTCAGGGTTTTATTACATATCATTGAGTATTATAAAAAAAACTTGTTTTTTTTGGTTTAGGCTTTTTCACCTCAGACTTTATTTACTCTTTCTTGAGTTGTAATTTTTGTCGTCTTGTCTATTTCTTTTGTTCATATTCCATTTTATCAATATGTTGCGTTTGGCAAACAGGCGCAGTCGCAAGCCTTATCATTTACTAGCTGCAGTACATCGTCGTCGTTTGGAAAAATTAGAAAGAGCTGCATGTAATGAATACGAATATTTACAACAGCAGAATTTAGATGTTCCTGATGCTAGAGCCGATTCAGACTTTGTTGACGAAGGTCAAATTCTTGCAGAATGCAGTCAGACTGAGGAAGATGAAATTTCTGTATCTTCTGATGCATCAGTTAATGATGTGCAATGTGCTTTTAATGAGGTCGATGAAGTATTAAGTTCTTCAGACGATGCTGAATCCATTTCAGATTATGATGATGTGGTGGATATTGAGCCTCGAGACACTATTGATAATTTTCAAGAACGCCTTGCTGAAGTCTTCGTACGCAGTGATATGTCTCATTCGCAAATAAATGCTGTTTTACAGGTTGTTAGAACACATCCTTGTTTATCTACTTTGCCAAAGGATAGTAGAACGCTTTTAAAGACTCCACATACCGCGCATCCCACACTTAACATTGCAAGGAGTGAATATCTCCATTTAGGATTTGAGACAGGAATTCTTTCCATTCTTCAACAAATCTCTCCGGAACTGATTCCACTTGACACTTTAATGGTAGACTTTAGTACAGATGGTGCAACGCTAGATGGACAGGGCAAAATTCAAATGTGGCCAATACAAATTAGGATTGCAAATATTCGTCGAAGTAAACCAGAAATTGTAGGCGTCTGGCGAGGGTCATCAAAACCAAGTAATGCGCAGGAATTATTCCAATATTTTGTGGATGAAGTTCAGGATGTATTAAATCGTGGAGTTGTTTTTCATAATCAATTGAAAGTAATTGAATTGAGATGTTTCATAGCAGATTCTCCTGCGCGAGCTTTTGTATTGGGTCATAAAGACCATGGCAGTATATTTCCGTGTTCAAAATGTTGGATTCGGGGAAATTGGCTTCGTCGTGGAGTAGTAGCTTATCGTGGTATTCAGCACAGGCCCCGTACAGACGAAGAATACAGACAGCGCATTGATGGAGAACATTATACAGATTCTGACAACTCTGCTCTGCTTACTTTAGGGATAGGGTTGGTAACTCAAACGGTCTTCGACTTGATGCACACTGTTTTTCTTGGTGTCGTCCCAAAAATAAATAGCGTCTTTGTTGATGAAAAATATAATCCAAATTTAAAACTTTCAGCCAGATCACTTGACATTATTACTAAACGTCTACAGCAAGTTAAGAATTACTGCCCTAAGGAATTTTCACAAAAACCGCAATTCATGAAAAAATATAGAGGGTTTAAAGCTACGGAAAATCGCCAACTTCTTTTGTATACTGCTCCAGTTGTTTATTATGGACTTACAAATCCTGCTGCATATAAACATTTTCTTCTATTACATTCCGCCATTCGAATTCTGGTCAGTTCTTCCTTATCAGAAGACCGTCTTGATTTTGCACACACAGCAATAAACATTTTTGTAAATAGAGCAGAAGATATATATGGTCCAGAAATTCTTTCTTACATTACTCATTGTCTTTTACATCTCGTAGATGACGCGAGACGCTTTGGCTCATTGAATGAATTGTCCATGTTTCCATATGAAAATAATATGACGTATTTCCGCAAAGCTTGCCGGAAGCCTCATCAACATTTGCAGCAAATCGTAAATAGGCGACTTGAAAAGTTACAAGTTGCACAAAACATCGTACATAATGTAACTGAAGAAGTGATACGTTCCAGTAGACCCTGGGTTAGTCCTGTAGTTTTTGATACTCCCCTAGATAGTCGTCAATTTCAGATCTTAGACACAGGAAAATTTCGTATATCGGTGAAGAATCAGGATAATACAATAATATTACACAATTCAAAGGTTTGTCTTGTTCAGAGCATCATTCTCTCGTTATCAGAGAGCGTTATCAGAGCATTATCAGTTGGCGGTTAAAGAGTTTTGCAGAGTTGAAGATCTTTTCGATGTTGGTTTGCCATCGTCATCAGTAGGTGTCTTCCGATGTTCTTTATTATCTGATGAAGTCAAGGTTATAGATCTTAATGAAGTGGAGAGTAAATGTTTTCGCATGCCTTATTGGCACACTGAAGGCCATACAGATCCTATTGTTGACGTCTGGATAATTGCAGTCATTTTACATACTGTTGGCGAAATTCTTGGCCGGGCGTAACTCCGGTTCGCCAATTGGAGCAAGGCAGGCCGGGTCGACCCCGACAGTGATCCGGAGTGCCGAAAATGAGCAGACACTGGTTTTCTCCTTCGATGGTGCACAGCACAGTTTTATTCCATATATGTACAGGTAGCCGGTGGCTTTTTTCAATTTGAGGCGCGGCTAGGATGTGCGACGGGCACGTGTTTGACGCGTGCGAGTACGCACTGCTTCGAGCGCACTTGGGGCGCAAAGATGTTACGCGGAGACGCGCATTTAAGTTAAATGTACATTCACTTCTCGCTATGCGAAGGTGAAGATGCTGACGCTCAGAGGCGTAAATGTTCGTCGCCACACCGTGAGAGCGGGAGCGATTGCGCGCAAACGGCGCGGTTGCGAGTGCTGTCGAAACCTTGGCACGAAGATGCACTGGCGGCACAATAATTGCGGCTCAGATACACGACGGGGCGTAAATCCGCGTGAACTGGAGTAGAGCGAAACTCAGTACGGAGACACACTAGCTGGAGTACCGCACGAGTTGTTCGATAAGCTTCTACTGAGGACCGGCGTTTTCGCGGGGCCGTTTCCGGAGCATTCGGTGACGCGACAATGAATTGGGCCAATCGGCGCGTTTCGCAGGATCACGGGATTCTCGCGTGTCCGGATCGATAACGCTACGTGAGAGACCGAGCGGTCAGGGATGACGCGGGGGGAGCGGCGCGAAGTCGCCTCGTTCAGGGGGCGGCTCAGGGATGGCGGTACCGGTATCGATCGCGGTAATTGATCGCGGTGCTTGCAATCCTGAACACATACTATAGATTAAGATGCCTTCATTAGGTGAGTTATCTCAAATCATTATTTAGATGAGTCAACGAGGGAGAGGAAGAGGAGCAGACAAGACGTACAAACTCCAAGAGTTGCAATCGCTGGATGCGGATATTGCAAAATATTGCACATCCCGTTCCGGAAAGAACACACAAAGACACATGGCACAAAACATCACAACTACACAAAGACAAACACACCACAGCAACATTCACAATCCCTAGCATCATCATCCTTACATGCTTCATCATCATCATCACTCTCACCTGCACAATCACATAAACACATGCCCCCTCCATCAGCTCCATTACAGCATAAACTCATCTCATCACACTCACCTTCACCAGCTACAAAATCATTCACACGAAACAGTCATTCACTATCAAAACCATCACATAATAAACAAATATTATCACGCTCTCCTTCACCAGCCACAAAATCATTCACACGAAACAGTCATCCATTATCAAAACCATCACCACAACATAAACAAACATTATCACGCTCTCCTTCACCAGCTACAAAATCACTTACACAAAACAGTCATCCACCATCAAAACCATCACCACAACATAAGCAAACGTTATCACAACCACCACCATCATCTGTACACCGAAATCGCCTATCTCCAACCAGACAAGGACATAAAGAAGAGTGGACAAAAGACGGGGAAACATCTTGTGATATAATACAATCTGTAAAGTAAGTTTCAAGAAGGATTACAATAATAGTCATCTAGTGCACGGATAAAGACATTAATTTTATTTCAGAATGATTGTGACGCAACTAAATCGGATGGAAGAGCGACAAATTTTGATTAAAAAGAAAATCGAGTAAATATTAACGAATTTACTGAAGAATAGCAAGCAACGTATTATAAATGAATTTTTAATTCCATAATTTTATTTTTTCCTGCAGTGAAAATGTCAAAGCCATCAAACAACTGACGCGAGAGTCTGCAGTAAGAAAACCAGTGAAGCCACAATTAAGGAGTTTTATTTAAAACTGTGGACGATTTCTTAGCCTTTGAAGAAGTTGACGATGACATTTATAATGATTTGGTAAGAATTTTTTCTAAATATATATTTAATTCAGTTTACTACAAAAATTTTGTTACAGGTGGGATACTTTGTTTATCTTGGACGGACCAATCCAGTCGATTGCGCTGCAGAGTATTTTCGCAGCGTATTTCCCGAAGATGAGGAGGTTTCTACATACCTCACCTTGAATGGAAGAACAGGACCAGGGGGATGCAAATTGCGAGACAGTCGCTTTGCTCAAGCATGTCAAGGTTCGTAAAAAAATACCGTTCGTGTTTATATTCTATTTTAAATATACACAACAATAACTAAGGTGTTTCTCATAAATTTTTCCAGATGCCATAAACGCCAACAAACATTTTCCCAGCCCCAATAAGGTCGAATTTTATGACGCTTTGGAGAAGGCTTTAAAAAGCCTTAAAACTAGAAAATGGCGTTACAACAGAAAACGACGACTTCATCAAGAAAGTGAGGAAGAAAATGAGGAAGAAAATGAGGAAGTCCCACTCAATCGACGCCAGCGAATGGATAACCCGGAAGAGGACACGGGATTTGAAAACATCCAGGAGGTAGCTGAGGACGCCAACGAACCAGAGGAGACCCAGCACACGGAGGGAGAAAACGCCGATGATATGGACACCCAGGACACCCAGGATACCCAGGACACCCAGGACACTCAGGACACGGATGGAATGAAGGACAACGACGAGTCTGAATATTTGTCAGAAAATGGTAAATAAATAATAGGTATAATAATATATAGTAATTTATGATATAAATTATAAAAAATTATAAAATTATATTAATTATAAATTATAAAATGTTAAATTTAAATTATTAATCTTAAGGCTTCTGGTCCTTACTATAACTATCCTTATTTAATGACATCAGAAGCGAGAAATGACACGTTGAAAATTCTTGCACGGTATTTCCAAATAAAGAGATATTTTGCATTTCATATCACTTCAGCACACTTCAAAAATATTCCGAGTTCTACACATTTCCCTTGACAGTTAATAAACAGTCGTAAAATGAATGTAATGCAAAGCCTAACAATTTAGGCTTATGCGCAGGTACATAAACGCGTGCATTATAGTTAGGCTTCGTATTACATTCATTTTATGACTGCGTTTATTAATTGTCAAGGGAAATGGATAAAACTCGGAGTATTTTTGAAGTGTGCTGAAGTAATCTGAAGTGTTATTTTGTGCAAAATTTGTAGATATAAAAAGATATTTGGAAAAACCATGCAAAAATTTTCAACGTGTCATTCTTGCTTCTGACGTCATTACATAAAAACAGTTGTAGCAGGGACCACTACAATTAGAAGGTGTAGCATTGCGCATAATAATGGCCGAAGAATAGGAAACAACCAATCAAATTTTTGTCCGAAAAATTGACACGTTGGCATATATTAGGGGAGGAGCCATGTTCCTTCTTGCATGTCGTATACATTTTTTATTGGTGAAAGAAAATTGACGACTGCGCATCCTTGGAAATGCTACACCTATCATCTTGTTACATCATGGCAGGGACCAGGAGCCTTAAATAACAAATAAATAAAACATTATTAATTTCTATTAATAAATAATATAATTCCAGATCTATACGACGATGAGAGTAATGATGACATAACCCTTTTTAGCAGTCCACCAGGCTGTTATTAGCGGTATGTATTTTTTGTATTTTGTGTTTTTTTGCTTGGAGAAGCAGTAATAAATTTGGATGTGCTTCACAGAGAACGGCGGGGTGGGGCCGTTCTCATCCCTAATTCATTTCTTTTTTTCAGGATAAATGGTATGGAGGGGCAAATATTTGGTTGTGCCTCACAGGAAAGGGCGGGGATGGGGCCCTTTCCCTTTTACATGACTTTTTAATACTACAATTTTATTACAGTTATTAATTATATCAAATATATACATAAATTTGACAATAACATCCAGGCGCGGCAATTTGTGCGCTTCATACTTTACTATAATTTAAGTAATTAAACAATATAGACAATATAAATTTTTAATTCATTATCAGTATGCGTTGAAGATGATCCAAAAAAGGATCGAAACGCTGATGTTAATAACGTTTATATTGTTTAAGTATTTAAATTATAATAAAATATAAAGCGCACAATTTACCGTGCTGACTCTTATTGTCAAATCATGAGTCAACGCGGTTATTTGTGCGTGATTAATCAAAATTTATTTAATTTTTTTTAACATTTTTTTCTGATCGTTTTGGTTCCGCATTGAGTCATCATCAGCGGCATAACAAATACAATTTAATTTAAGATCGTAGAGTACTAAATTGTATTTGTTATGCCGCTGATGATGGCTCAATGCGGAGCCGAAACGCTTGGACAAAGATGTTAAGAAGAATTAAATAAATTTTGATTAATCACGCACAAAAATAACCGCGTTAATTCTCATGGCCTGATCTAATTTTATTTTGTTCATTATCGAAAATCCTAATTATTTGATTTGTATATATTATATATAGTTGTTAATTATTATACTTTTTAATTATATATACTATACATATTTTTTATTATAATATTATATAATTAATATGAAAATTTAATTTTGTACTTATCATGTATATGTGAATTATTATGTATATATATATATATGTGTGTGTTTAAATGAATAAATTCTGTATAATTTAATTACAAATTGAAATAATGTTTTTTTAAACGTATAACCTTTATAAATTTATAATGGGATGGGGAAAAACCGAAAAAAGCCAGTACGATAATGCATTCTCGTTCTAATACACTATTGGTACCGTGAGAGTACAGCGTACAATCATAACCCTACATCAAACGCACAGTAGCGCTACGGTAGCCGTACTGCGTACCAAATACGGTGTACTGGTAACATACGCTTACGGTACGCACTACGTGGTCGTAACCGACGTTTTGTTCCCCGGAAAAAATCTCCCGGAAATCAGTTCCCGGAAAAAATCTCTCCGAAAAAAATCTCCCCATCAAAAAATCTCCCCCGGAAAAAATCTCCCCCGGAAAATATCTCCCCCGGAAAAAATCTCCCCCGGAAAATATCTCCCCCGGAAAATATCTCCCCCGGAAAAAATTTCCGTGCCCAGCAAAAACCGAGGTGCCACATGGGTTTACAACTTTCCACGTGTGAAAAGCCCACGCACGTACTTTGCAAGGCACACTATGTGTATAGTTTAATGATAGTGGAGCCCCCCGCAGGGGGGCGGAACCTACTGCCTCCACGCATACACTGTCCACGCGAAACGAGGTTCACGCACACCTCCCCGTGCTTTCGGGGGAGGTGCGGTAGTCCTGAAATAGTTCACGCATACACTTTCCACGCAAACCGAGGTTCACGCACACCCCCCCGTGCTTTCGGGGGAGGTGCGGTAGTCTCGAAATAGTTCACGCATACACTTTCCACGGCCACTAACGACGATGATGCTTCCTTGCTTGTCACCGCTTTCTTCCGTAATTTTGCAACAACGCGCTTTGTCTCAACTGCTGCAGCGTTAGAAGTGTGAGTTGTGTGCTCAGTTGTGTGAAATACAGTAGTACTGAAATTTTGGATGGGGAGATTTTTTCCGGGGGAAATTTTTTCCGGGGGAGATTTTTTCCGGGGGAGATTTCTTCCGGGGGAGATTTTTTCCGGGGGAGATTTTTTCCGGGGGAGATTTCTTCTGGGGGAGATTTTTTCCGGGGGAGATTTTTTCCGGGGAGATTTTCCCGGGAACTTATTTCCGGGGAGGATTTTTCCGGGGAGATTTCTTCCTAGAACCCTACGTGGTAGCTACAGTACCGATACGCAAAGTACGACGTACGTTCACCGTACTAGTTCTGTGGAAGTATCTTGTTATCTGGGCCGCGAGAAAGTGGTAGTCTCTTCCGTCAGGAGGGAAATGTGTATTGTCACGACTTTTTCACTCCCGGAGCGGTCCAGGGCGTGTGCCGGGTCAAAAGAATAAAGGAGAGCGGGATAATAGGCCTCTCCGGGGATTCTCTCACACCTTCGACACTCCGCGAAACGATTTTAATGTTGGGCGCCAGACGCGTGAATTCGCGTCCGCGAGATCGCGAAAAACCAAAACGAGACGCAAAACAAAATGTGTGGATGTGCGAGGAATCAGCTAGCTCAACCTAAAAACGGGGCAGGGTTGATGAAGGGCGGCGCGATATCCGGCGGGAGGACACGTAAATTAGTAACTCAATTCGTTAACAATAAGGAGTAACATTTATTGTATAATAACTCTCAAGAAAATCATAATGAGTGCCCATCCGGCTTCGATTAATTGCAAAACAAATCCAGTAAATAGTAGCTAACGCGGGCGTCCAGATTTAATGAACAGAAATAGTAACAACTCGGACGTTAAAAATTACGGAGTCTCACTTTTGTTTAATATAAACGCGCGGAAGGCGCTTTTCTCGAACAACGAATAATAACAATAGAAAACTCAGCTTGCCAATAGTACGGAATAGCGGCCAAAGAAACGACCGCACTTGGAGTAGTCGGAGTAACGCGAAATATTAGAGTCGAAATGACTATGAAGTGATAAGTAACGTAAGATATTGCGAAACAATGGTGCGTCACGCTCGGGGCGCGGAAGCACCATATACGACCGTACGGGAATTCCGTCGCCAAGTTATCAAAATTTCACGTAAATAACGCTGATCGGGCGCAACAAGGAGGCGCCGATACATTCGACAAGATAAAGAATACTATATCTAACCTAACACGAATAACATCCTAAGGCAATTAGCCAGCATGAACGGCATGTTAACGCAATTAATGTGTCGACGCAAACGACGTTCCAACGCAAGTAATATTTGGTAATTCGATACGCCGTGAACACCGTGTGCGCGGGGCGCGACCACGAGCGCGGACATTACACGAAAACGGGTTCGCATTACAGGCTTTCGCCAACGAATCTATCGCGATCTCCAGAGGCTCGCCATAACGTCTCTTTATCACGATTCCGCGGCCACGATACCATCCCGAGGCCCTTCGCTCTCGCTGTCAATCGCCATTCTATACTCGGTCCCAAGCAACCGTACGTGTCGCGGTATTACAAACGTTTTCCCGAGCGAGAGCGCGTACTGGAGGGCGGCGTCGTGACTTTAAATTTTGATATTACTTGTGGGCAACCTCATCGGTGTAACGTCTTCTCCTGGGACTCTTCACCGTCATCTCGTACTCAATCGTCGAAGGCGAAAAACTGACTCCCGATTCGGGGCGGCTATCGCGGAGCTTAATGTAACGTGTTCGGACTCGCCGACGGACGACCAGAGAGTGTCTCGCTAAATCCGCTCGATTGCGGAATCGATGCGGCACCCCCTTCCGTAGGGGCGCGCCGACCAATCGGGAACGAGCTTGCAAGCTCGCGCGATATCTCAACGCAGGTTCGTCGCAAGGAAATCCTTCGAGGGCGCGCAACGGTCCTTCGGCGGCGTAGCGACTCCTTCAATTTGTCCCTGGGCAGCGGACTGGACTTGGTTCTGGCCGGTGTGCTTCCAGTTTGACCTCGGGGCGGTGATCAGCCACCCCGCGGGCCGGTATTTCGTGGAGGCAAATTGCTGAGGCCGGGTTTTCCCCAGGCGCCTGGAGCCCCGCTATCGGCGGCCTTGTCCATCGCTGCCTCACTCGCCGCACGCCTGCCGCGTTGCTCTCGCCGCCCGCGATCTCAATGGTTTCCGCTCTCGCCACCCCTCCTCGGTCCTTGGTCCTCCCGGACCCTTCCGTTACCGGTACTCCCT